ATGAGAACATAGTCAAATTATAGAATTCATTACACTCCAATAATTTTTTTCTATTCCTATTTCCAGGAAACAGTATGTTCATAGGTCATATTGTCACAATGAACACCTTTTCTTTATTAGACTGTTTTTAAGATTACCTTCCCTCTCATCTGTTGTATTGTTACAGAATCGAAACGACTAATCCAGGAGAGTTGGAATTTTAACCAGAACATCTTCGTGAAAAATAAAATATTATTATTAGATTTCTAGTAGTGCTAACTATATTACTGGAAAGAAATAAGAAGCGAATTGAGGTTTAGTCATTTTGATGCCGAAAGTCGAAGTCTCAATCTGAAAAATACAACAAGTTATAAAATGTAACTATAGAGTAAACCGTCTAACATACTTCGAGTACTTCGGGGTAATTAGAGGCACTATTTGAAGTTTTTCGTCCGTTTTTTGCTATTTCTTGACCGTTTTTGATCGGGAAAAGTTGCTATTGAACATGGTGGTAGATCGAACATTTTTCTACACGTTCATGTAAAAATCTCTTGAAAATCTCAGGCCAATTTTGAGCCAGATCCAAAATGCGAAGAGCCCCATCAAAGTGTCTCTAGTTACCCCTTACGGACTAATTAGAGACACTTCACTTATACTCTTGGGGTAAATAGGGACACTCTAGGGGTAACACTTTCTCTTTCTTTCCCAAAAAAAGGAAAGTAAAAATTGACTTTTCTTTCTTTCGGGAAAGGAAAGTTTTTTACTTTCCCGCTTCCCTTTCAGAAAAAAATAGAAAGAAAAGTATGATATAACTTTCTTGTATGTTTTCCTCCATGAAGAAAACACTTTATTGCAAAACCAAGCCCATATTCATGATCAGCGGCGACAGATCCACCACGACTCTTCCATAAATTTTTGAAAATAGATTTTAAAGAAACTAAACTTTAAAGAACTAACAAAGCAACTGGTGTTACTGGTGATTGTTTTACTTCAACCTACTTTTCGAACTCAATCTCACATTGCACCCTAGCACCAACTCCACCACACACTACCAAAGGTGCCCACATATTACTACGCAGAATTCGCGGAAGAATCCGGGTCCTGTTCTCGGAACTATCGGTTCGCTGAAGCGTTGTTTGCAGGAAAGTCGTGTCACGATAGTAACGTTCATACTAAAGTGCTGTCTGTACAAATCAGTATTCAATACGAACTATGCATGGATATTCTCTTTTCGTTCTGCTCTTGTTTATTCTTCTGACATATGAAAATAAGAAAAATCAGAGAAAGAAATGAGTATATTCAGAACGGAGAAAAAATGGCGAACGCTAACATAGGTCACTATTTTTACATCAACACTAACGAACCAGCTAGATCAATTCACTCTGTTATCTCCTTTTTACCTACTTTTTGCTTTCTCTTTTCTAGACAGCAGTATTTATGGTCGTAGTAAATTACATCATTTCTTTTTGCTTTTCATTTTCTGTTATGTTTTGCTTTTGAAGTACATGATGTTGAGTGTTTTTTTTTGTTTTGTTCTGATAACTGTCTGAAACTTATTCTTGTGTGAGAAAAAATATTTTCTTTCTTACATTCATTTAGAAGAACCGAACAAAGGAAAAAGAATAGCTAGTGCAACAACAAATAAAGCATAGGATTCATGGTCATTAAAGAAGCGAGTAGTGCTGTCCAGTTCAGAGATCTTCGAATCACATTGAACTTCTCGTGTCCTACAACCCATACATAAAAAAAGAAAAGAGTTAATACAGATTGTGAGAGAAGTCGCGGATTATTTGAGAACACTAGACGAACGTTGGCTGATCATAACCTGCTTGCATAAAGTATGCTGCCGAAATTAAACTATTTGACGATTTCTTCACTGGAAGATGCGAGGAATGTATGAGTGATTAATCCGAATATGTTGTTACGATGTGCTTAGTTAATATGTTTGCAAATATCTATTATTTTTCAGAGTGTACTGACTTGATCTCGAACAATTATTTTTAAATGTTATTGATAAAGGTCTACTTTTATTCTAATTTCCAAAAAGCTCCAAAAATGACTTCAGACAACAAAAGAAAGTTTTGATAACTATCTAAAAAGTAAAAACCCGAAGCAACTTATAACGACATAAAAGAACACAAAACCAAAATTAAAACACATTAAAAAACTCCATTAACATAAGAATGAACAAACAAATATTAAACATCACACAACGACATAATCGCAATAAGTTTTCTTTATCTATCATCCTAGAAAAGTCTAAAAAAATCCAACGCATTGCACAGCAAAAAAGCTTTTTTTTTTTAATGTTTTTATCAATGTTAATCATAAACTTCAGCTATTTTTTACCACTTGTATTAGTACCAGAAACACACCCAGAGCCAGAACCACCACTCGTATTAGTACCAGAAGCAGAACCAGAGCTAGAACCACCGCTTGTATTACTATCTGTTGGACATTGACCTGCATGTGCTAAAAGAGATAAAAATAGTTTAGCTTTCTCAGAAATAGGTTAACTGTGAAACTCACTTTGATGTCCACATTGATTACAATAACCTAGAAAAGGTAAATAAAGTAGGTTAGAAGAAGGAGACTTCTGTAATCAAGGCGGCCATGCAAAAGCAGAATGTCACACTCATAGACAAGCTGGTATTTCTACAAATATAAAAATGGGACTAAAAAGTACACAAACCAATATTGTGCTAAACAAAACCTTTTGTCTACTTACCAATACGTAGAAGTTGTGCTCACTGGGCCGATACCAACTGATGCTAATTGAAAAAGCAAAGACTTATTTTTCAAAATATCAGATTTCAATGTAGCTTACATGCTTCGTTTCTTTCCCCACTAGGATTATTTCCTCGGTACGCCATTAAATGAAACTTGAACTTAAAGAAAAACAAATATCGACTTCGTGAGCTCAGTAAAACGTTCGGTAGGAACATGGCTGTCCACACAGTCAAGTTGATTTTTATCGATTTTTTTAATATTAGAAAGCGTAGTTGATAGATTGATGATGAATCAGACGTGTCTGGATGCTACTTTTTATCCTAGTGTATGTTTTAAAGATTTCTGAAGAAGCAATAATGTGCAAAACCGTAGTATTCGCAACATTATTTGAATTAAGGTTCCTTTCATGATAAAGCGTCTTACTCCATTCTATGAAGTTTTACACTATAGAAAAACCTCTCTGATCTTGTGGTGTAGAAGAATGGTCGGATTTCCAAAGGATTTCCGACTACCCCGAACCGCCAATGCTAAAAAAGTAACGATTTTCTCCAGTTTCGGAAGAAATTAAAGCCATTGGCAAAACTGTTAATAACCTATGTAGGTTCGTCTTAGAATCTTTAATTAAGTTAAATTAAGAGCTAGACTTTAATATCTCAAGGCTTTTAGGGCTTAAGACGTTTAGCCCCTTCGGATTTGATGAGGAAAGTAGGGGAAAACGAAAAACAGCTTTCGACAAGCTTCAGCAGTAGAGTTGTAGGTTCGTGTCACAATAAAACCTGAACCGTGACATTGAAACTTTAGAAAAATGGATAAATTGCTAAAGTAGAAGGGGATTCTTTACTCAAAGTTCATCTTATCGGTAGTCTTTCACGTAGAAGTGTTTAAAAACACTTTGTCATCTCATTTGCGGGATAGTTAATTTTCGCTTTTTTATCAAGAGGTTGAACCATATACATTGACTACAAACAGAACTTTGTGAGATTTAGATTATGGAAATTACGGGAAATGAGCATGCTCATAAAACTTCCTACACAACATGCAATCTAGCTTTCTCTGGAAGAGTTGTCTTAGGCAGCACTAAAGCTCAACTACAGAAATTTGATTCTGTACACGAAAAATACAGAGGAGTGAGATGAATATAAGTGGGTGTAAGTGCCTGAATGCCTTATGGTCGAAACCTGTTAAACTCGAAAACATAAAGCGTCTGCAAGACTTCTGATAGCGTGAAAAGTGAACTAAGCTAAATGCTGAAAAACTGGAGAGTATGGATTTAATTGAATATAAAATAAATCAGAAAAAAGCAAATTATCTTTAATCCTGTTTGCTCAATTTGTAGTAGGAGTTTTCACTGCTTTAATGCCGTATGAACACGAGGTGTAGCGAAAAAGCTGACTGAACGAAGTCACTTCAGTGAGGTTTTACAGAAATGTGTTAGAAGATATGCCTAGAAGTTAAACATTCCAAAGCTACGATGCTTTTCTGCTGATTCATATCCTTTATAGACAACTTGCAAGGATTTTCATCAAGAGTGAACGTGTGAACATATTACTTACCAAAAAATTGATTTATTATTCCACAACAACAGTAAGTGTATACTAGCTCAAAAGCGTGATTTTACAGACAAATGAAAGAAAACGAAACGGTTATGCTCTTGATATACCATTCCGATAAGAACTTACGGATATGCACACCTGTACGTGACTGAATGCCAAAATTTCTCGATTTCTGATTTTAGATAGCAGTGCATATCTGAA